AATAAATAAAAAAGGCATATTCACCTAAATCAACGTCAGTACGAGAATTCAGAAGCTTTTTTCTTTCTCATTGGCTTTCCTTCTTTTAGAGGGAGCAGAACTAACCTCCTAAGGGTTAATACATTCCACACTACTCACTGGCTGGTTTTTCAGCTAGCCAGTCAGCCAGCCAGCCAGCTAGCTCTTTCTAGAATCTCATCACCTTTTAATTGAGTCAGCTCATTCTCACTGAGTCAGTAAGAACATGTGGAAGCCATCCAGAGAACTTAAGAAAAGCAGAAGTTAGGTGGAGGCTGATGACACTTTTCAGAAATGGGGTAAAAAAGAAAAAGTAAAATATCTGAGTAAACAAGATTTCAAAATTATTCTTGACTCAACATTTTAGAGAAGTCAGGACCGACTTCATAGCGGGGGTGACATTTAAGCTGGCATCTGAGGGCATTGCTAGGTAGAAAACGGAGCGGAGCATTCCAAGCAGAGGGAACAGGGTGTGCAGTGGCAAGAAAACAGTTCTGACTTGGTATATCTGAAGGAGAAGCAGAAGTTCACTATGGCCGAGTCTAGAGTGCCTGGGTGGGACCAAAAGTATTGCCCAATTTTTCACCCTTTAGCAAATGGGAACGGAACAATGTATTTGGTAAGGAAAAATTGTGGTGTCCTATCTAGTGCTTAGTATGACTTCAAAGAGAAAAGGCCATCTTTAAGATATATGCTGTGTAGAGTGCCACAGATCTCTTTTTAAAAATTTTACTTATTTATTTGAGAGAGAAAGAGAGAGAGTGCACATGAGTGCACAAGCAGGGGGAGGGGCAGAGGGAGAGGGAGAAGGAGACTCCCTGCTGAGCAGCGCTCCAGCCCAGGGCTGCGAAATCATGACCTGAGCCAAAGGCAGCTACTTAACCAACTGAGCCGCCCAGGCACCCCAAGTGCCATAGATTTCTATACTGAGTACTGAGTTTTGAGAAATTGAGCTCTTCTATTTATTGGCAGTAATTTTTAAGTCTCATTTATATTATGAGATTTATAAGATATATAATATATATTTAAGAGAGTCATAGTTATTTTCTTGGTGAAAAGTGATTGATTTACTAGTGACTGATTTACTAGGCTGCAAACAAACTTAGGCAAAACCACCAAGTTAAAAAAACAAACACTGTAGGAGTGTGGGCACATAATGAAATCATTTTGAATGAAATGTGTCAGGAGGAAGGAGATGGGAAGAAGGGAAAGAAGATGCTTTGCATGGGATATGTTATTTAATCCATAACACACTTTGTGATGGTAATATCACTGTCACCATTTCATAAATGAGAAACGGAAGATCAAAGAAAGGAGTTCCCTATAAAATTAGGTCATTAAGCTTGAGCCTTAATTTTCACCAGCGGAGACTAATTTTTCCTCTGTAAAATGGAGATATGACAGGCACTGCCTACCTCATGGAATGTTAGGAGGAGTAAAAGAAATAACAAATAGAACTTGAGACATCATTCTTGACCTTTACCAGATTTTAAGTTCTCTGACTCTGTCCTGATGTTTCCATGTTATTCAAAATGGGGTCTTCCTAAAAGAAACTTTAGGGAAGCCTGTTTGTGGAGAATTTCTTTTCCCAGCATATCTTAAAATATACTACTTCAAGCTATTTACTTTTAAATAATTAAAATATTGTCTATACATGTGGGTGTTTTTTTGTTTTTTGTTTTTGTAAAAAATAGAACATAAACTTTGGCCATTACTCCACATCCATGTCAGGAATATCCTAGAAGAAGGAGTTTTATCTCTTAAATACCTTAATTTTTTTTCTCGACGTTTTTAATGATTTTGTTTGAAAATTTGTTTTGCCCTTTATGTCTTTTAAACAAAATGTACTGAATAATGCTATGTGCCAGTCAATGATCCTATAATAGCGATATAATGGGACAGATTTAGCTACACTTGTGGTGGACATAACGTATAAATTGCCAAATCCCCAAGTTGTAGATCTGAAGCCAAGGTAACATTTGTGTGTCAACTATATTCAAATAAAAAAAGGATAATAGATTAGAAAAATAATACTATGTGTCAGACACCCTTCTAAAGTTTTTACATAATTTATTTAATCCTCATAACCACGCCATAATGTAAAACTGTTCTTACCTCCATTTTTCTAAATGAGAAAATTGGAGCAAAGCGATATTAAGGTCTTATAGTTGTTAGGTGGATGAGCCAGGATTTGACTTGGGGGGTCTGGGCTTCAGGATCTGAACTCTTAAACACAGAGTCATGATGCTACATTTCCGAAGATAATCGATCGTCTTTCTAAATATATCAGGGTAATGATTGCATATATCAATTTTTATTTGATGTCCACAGGAACTACTGTGGTCTAGCACAGGATTGTAGCCCTATACAGTAGGGATGTCCCTATCTATTATACTTTTTGATGTACTTTACCTGCTTTTTTTCTTTGTCCTCTCTGTGAAAAAAAGATTATTTGCAGTGTATCTACTCTTACAAATTGCCCTCTTTCCTCCAATTATTCTGCTTCTGATTTCCTAAAAGTCAGAAACCAGATCACCCTATATGTTAGAACTGTCTCTGAAGTAGGAGTCATGAGATCTTGAGAGAAGACCCAAGCCTTTAGTGAATGGACTTTGTGACATCTGTGACAGGGATCTTTATTTTTTGGCATGTTTTCTGTCCTCAACCGTGATCCAGATAGTTTGGATGGCTGGGTAAGTACCTCTCGATAAGCGAGGTGTCACAAAATATAAATTCAAGGCATTTCTACTCTTCACCTGTTCAAAAGTGTTTTTAGTCATCATCATAATTAGAAGGATGGCCTAGTTCCTCAAGCTTCTGGGTAGCCATCTGATGCTTAGAAGTAGAGAGTCATGGCTACAACTTGTATAAAAATAGCCCTTCCAGATGGCTGAGGGGCAAAGTTACAACTCAGCAGCTTGATATAGCTGAGCACTCACATTTTGGAGTAGGAGGAGAGCTATGCGAGAAGTAGCCAGAGAGACTGGGCTGGAGTCCAATCATAAGTAGAACAGTATATGCCAGGAGAGATCACTTAACGTGGCAGATTAGCTATTAAGATTTCCTGTTTACTTCAGCTCCATCTCCTCTCCACCTCCTTTGATTCAACCTTACCTCTTAGCCCCAAGGAAAAGACACACGCTTTTTTTTTTTTTTAAAGGAGTGTAAAGTAGAGGTATAAACTTTAAATCTTAAAGGGCTTTAGAATTCTATTAGCCTAACTCCTGTTTTTTTTGCAAGCAAACCAAGATGTACAAAGGTGGTGACCAGTCAGGCTCAACCAGCATGTTTGCGGGACTCAGTTCCTCCGGCTTCTTGTCCGGGGCTCATCTGCCCACTCTTCCGGGGGGAGGTGTGTGCAGTTACAACACGCCACATTTCCCTAGCTCTGCTTTGAGTCAGTCCAAACTCAAAAATTAAAGCCTCTATTTTTTTTTTTTTAAGATTTTATTTAGTTATTTGACAGAGAGAGACACAGTGAGAGCTGGAACACAAGCAGGGGGAGTGGGAGAGGGAGAAGCAGGCTTCCCGCCGAGCAGGGAGCCCGATGTGGGGCTCAATCCCGGGCCCTGGGATCATGACCTGAGCCGAAGGCAGACGCTTAACGACTGAGCCACCCAGGCACCCCTAAAGCCTCTACTTAAAAAAAAAAAAAAAGGAAAATTGCCAAAGCTGTGATACTGCCTCCATTCCTCAAAACAAATACTAAAGTTCCGACAGATGAGTCACTAGCTTGAAACCTCGTTTCACAAATGAAAATATTTCCGGGCGCCTGGGTGGCTCAGTTGGTTAAGCGACTGCCTTCGGCTCAGGTCATGATCCTGGAGTCCCGGGATCGAGTCCCCGCATCAGGCTCCCTGCTCAGCAGGGAGTCTGCTTCTCCCTCTGAACCTCCCCCATCTCATGCTCTCTCCTCTGTCTCATTCTCTCTCTCAAATAAATAAATAAAATCTTTAACAAATGAAAATATTTCCTAATCAGAGGTTTCAAGAGATTAAAATATGTAGTTTTCATATTTTCCCACCATCTAATAAGCCTGCCTCTCTACTGGATATTCTGGAAGAAAACTTAAGCCTCTGTCTGTAGTAAATCTGTTGCTTATGTCAATGTCTGTTGCAATAAGTGAATGTTGGTTTTTAAAATACAGTCATTAGGAGTGGATTCATGCTTATTTTTTAGCAGCAGTTCTAGGAGACACTATTATTTTTGAAAGACGAAGGAATTGAGAAACGTACCGTTCTCTTCTCAACACCGCTCACGATGAGCCCAAATCCAAGGCATTGCTGTGCCCTACTGGCAATATGGCCTCATTGCAGGTAAGCGACTCAGAGGGGACATGGGTTTGCTGCCAGCCTTGCGAATGCGGTTCCACAGTAAACTCTCTACAACACTCCCCCTAACCTAGCATATACCCACACGAAGTCTTTGCAGGTAGCAGAAAAGCAGATCCACAGCTAACTTCTCCCAACGCAATAGGGTCTGTGCTTCCCACGGGAACATGACAACACCATTGTGGGGTAGTATGCTACTCTCCCAGAGAAAATGTCTTTCCTTCTTAGGGAATTTATCCTCAAACTGCATGGAATGAGGGATTTGTGCCCCACAACTTGCAGTCCCCTGGGAGCAGGCAAGGAGCTCTCCATCCCAGTGTCCATTCACTATTACAATAGCATGTCCTCAAGCTGCTCAGCTACACAGCCAGCTGATGGGAGTGGTCGTCCCAGGAGGAAGCATGGGGAGAAGTAGGGACAAGCAGTTTTGGATTGTCCACCAAGTGCCTGAGTCTCTGCTAGCCTTGTTAGAGCTGACTGGAGTGCTCCTGTTCAATTGTCCAAGCTGATCTATGATGAAGTGTGCTGATTCTCCTCCAGGTATGTCCTCCGTACCCTGCAATGTGGCTGGAGATCTGAATGGGGCTGGCCTGGAACAGAGGTCGACCGTCTAGACAGATATTGCCCACATGAAGAAGAAAAGCCAGGGCATGATTTTCAATACCTTTATTAAGAAATATCAAAAGTTCATTACAGTTCCATACACAGTTTTACAAAGTTCAAGTGAAGGGGAATTTGGGATGCCATCATATGCATGTTTGAACACTACGGCAGCTTGCCAAAAAGGTAACCCTAAACTTCTGTCACCTTGTTTAACAGTGGACCCCAACCATGCCTTTTCCCATTTCTACTAGGCCACAACATAGTCCCTTAAGTTACCTGGAAGAGTTTTAATGTGTTACATATACTTCTTAAATACTTGCCCTTTTATTTTGTCATTATTGTTCCCTGAAGAAGCTGAGCTGTTTATATGAAGCACAACATCTGAGTCCCACTCATTGCTGTGTGTCTTACATTTTCACCAAGCCTGCCTTGAGAGCTGGATAACACTGCAAGTTACATGTTACCATATTATACTGCGGAGAGAACCCACACACGTTGTTATTTTTTTATTTAGCATTTAACAACAACAAAAAAATGGGGGAATCCCTCAATGTGGAAACAAAACACCACAGTCATTCAGTGGAATGGCTAAAAATGGGATATGTCTGCCAGTTCCACTGAGCTCCTCACAAGCAGTCAACGGCATGACCAGGAACAACTGGATGCAGGAACACCAACACACAGAACACAGCAAGGGATCTTCTCGGGGGTGATACATCGCAATTTTTTATGTCAGGGACATGGCATCAGAAGGGAATTACACTTTCAAAATAATCGGGGCCAGTAGGTCAACGGCACCCGGTGGGAAACATCAACGGTGTTGTGTGCCTTGGTGAAGGCTTGCGCTGGGTTATCTGAAAGTTGATTTTTGAAGAGATTGTCCAGCAACATCAGAAAGAGCCATCTTCAGAGGAAGGACTCCTTGTTCACCCACATGAGGCTGCGTGTCTCATTGGGTTTGCATTCATACTCAATGACGGAGAACGGGCTTCCCCATTGACAGTGATCTCGCTTGTGGTAATTGTAGAACTTGACTTGCCATACTGTCTCGAAGGTCCCAATGTCAGTGAACTGAGGGGAGAGAAACACGCACCATAAAAACCTCATTCTGCCACGAACAACAGATAAGAGCTCATGTTAGGGAAAGAGATCCTGCATATTCAAGGGTTAACAGTCAAGACTCTTTTGGTTTGCAAAGTTTAGGCCTTTAACTTTAATGAACTATTTTCCTTTATTATGTGAGCTAATTTCCTGAAAAGCTGTCTGTAAGCCATTTTTTTCTCTATAAAATCTTATTCCTATTGTACAAGTGGCATTTGCTGTCATACGGTCTTTAATAAACATAACTCCCCAAGTTTATCTGTTTTCCAAATTTAATTATTGGAAACAACTCTTTGAACCTCAGACTTTCAGAGCTTGCCATGAAGGGGGTTTAGGAAGAGAAGAGAGGGAATGGTGTTTGATGATTATCTTTTGGTGTCTATTTCAAAAGATAGTTGTACAAAATAACATATACACAGTATCACTAAATGTAAGATACAATTGCCTTTTTGTCATTAATTTCACTTCCAGGGAAAAATATTTTCTTAGAAGCATTTGATTGTTAAAGACCCTACTTTAACTTTTAAAAATACGTTGAGCATTTATGAGTCAGGAATCCATGTCCATGTCTCAGGCTTTGATTGTACATTGTCCAGAACCATATTTGAGTAACTATTATGTGCTTTGCACACATAAAAATTTGTATGAGGTAGGATTCTTGCTCTCAAGAAGTTTGCATTCTACTTCCAGAAGGTAGGCCCTGCGGATCACTGCATAGAATTCTCCTGAGCCCTAAGCACACAATTCCCATGTAGCTGAGAAGAGGACATAGAATACCCTAGGGGCCACTTGGGCAGGTGTTCAAGTGGCCTGCAGGGTAGCCTAACCTTGCTACTGCCTCCTGGAGCTATTTAGGGGATCTGGCATTAAACAGCATGATGCCTGTCGTTATTTTCTCCTCTGACCCTCTCCTGTCATGGGAGGGGATGGGGACTGCCTTGGCAGCATTCTTAGACTTGTCAGGAGCCAGAAGACGTGGAGTGGGGCAGGGCAGTAAGCAATAGGAGCCTTATGCTTGACACTGCTACAGGAGGAGGGTGATCAGGTGCTTCCCAGATGGCTTTCCAAGATGCTCTCCAAATTATATTCTGCACCATTGCCTCATCCTGCTAATTTGATCCCAAAACAGGGTTTGGTTTTCTTTTGGGAAACATGCCTGACTCGAAACAGTGGGTGATATACCTAGAGTCCCCAACTCTTTACCCAGGTAGGAAAAGAAAGTATCTTTTTCTAGAGAATCATGGCTTAACAGTCTAGAGACCTGTCCAAGTACACAGTAGCTTTATTCACTATAGCTTCAGACTTGAATCAGCCCAATGTTTCATCACTCACTTGGTGATAGACAAGTGTTAGTATGCCTGTCATTATGGCATTTTACTCAACAATAAAAAGAAACATACTGATTCAGGCAGCAATGAGGATGGATCTCAAAGATGTGCTGAGCAAAATAATCCAGACTCCAAAGAACACATATACTGTATGATTCCATTTATATAAAACTCACATATGTATGTATGTATGTATGTATGTATGTATGTATGTATGTATGCTGACAGGAAGCAGGAAGCATCTGTGGTTACTTAGAGCCTGGGGTGGGAGGAAGGGATTAATGATTGATGAAAATGTGTAAGAGGGAACTTTTTTGGGGGAAATGTTTTACTTCTTGACAGGTGGTGATTACATGAAAAAGAAAAAAAATGGCAAACATCTGAAAAATCTTTAAATGTAATATTATTAGTAATTAAAGAAATACAAACTTTGACAGAGGTATTATTCACCTATCAACTTGGCAAAAATGTCTAAATACCAGAAGCAATTTAAGCATCCGACTTTAGGAGAATATAATGAAAATGGTGGTGTATCTATATGATGGATTTGTGTAACCATTACACAGGAATTTAGGGTTTTTAATGATGAGAGAAAATGCTGAGAACAATGTCAACAAGAAAAAGATGGATGAAAACAGTTTATATACAGTGTGAGCATAAGTATATAAAATAAGACATATAGAAAAAAGAGAATGAAAAAATATTAACAATAAAGCTAAGTAAAGGAATTGAGTGTTTTTCTATCTTTTCTACTTGGATTTTCTGCAAAAAATATGTTACTATTATAATCATAAAGAATGTTTTAAATGGTGAAATGGAATTATCGTCCCTAAAAAGTTAACATACATATCCCTCTAACCTTAGGGATTTTATAAATTCTATCAAGGATACATAGAGGCTAATAAAAAGATTACAGCTTTGTTGACAGTAGGGTAGTGGAGGGAAGAATAAATTGAAATCTCATTTTATAAATCATCAAGATTTTTAAAGAGGGATGATGATGATGATCATTATCATGATTTGACCAGCATAGGGCATTGCGCATTTCAAGGGCAATTCAATTATATTAAGTTATAAAAATATTTTACAAACACTAGTTAATCTTTTGAGGAAAGCAGCCTGAGACTATGCTAGGTAAGTGGGAAAAACAAGGCCTTTCTTGAAATAGAAATAAATAAAAGTTGGTTGTAAAAACAAAAACAAAGATGATTAGGACCACAGGCAAGAAAAACCTTAAGACATGACACTGTGTCTGAATAACCTTAAAATTAAGAAAGTCTCAATGTCCCAGTGATGTGGGAAACAAAGGTAGAAGAAAAATTAAGTTTCCTTATTACTTACAGCCCATTGACAAGTGCTTGAAAAAGGCAGAGTGACATTCCTCTAGGAAACCAGCTGCCTCGATGTTAATACTTTGCTAAGGGCAAAAGGCAATCTTAGGCAGGAATCCCCAGGATCATGTAAGTCTACTTTAACATAAAAATTCTTTAGGAAACTTCCTTTATTTCTACCCCCGAAGATACAGGTTGGCAATTATCTTTTAAGCCACCCACCGATATACATCTGAAGAGTCTCATGACTGAGTTTTTACTAAACAGTAATAAATGACCTTTCTCTAACAATAGCTAGCCCCCTAGGATCCTGGAAACCTTGTTTCCAAAATACCTGGGAGGCTTTCGCTATCCCTAACTCCCTCCCAACTTGGAAGTATATAATGGGCCACTCCTCATGACCCCAGTGCAGCTCTTTCTACCCACGGGTCCTGTCCCAGTGCTTTAATAAAACCACCTTTCTGCACCAAAGACGTCTCAAGAATTCTTTCTTGGCTGATGGCTTCGAACCCTAACATCTTTCCTACATCAACAGTTCTCAGTGATACAGGAGACCAGCGTAGAAATATGCTGACAGCAACAGTCAGAGCTAAAAGATATGGAATGTTCAGGTGCTTCTATTTTGTTTTGTTTTGTTTCTCTTTTACTAGTGTTGGGCCCAAGGTCATTTTGTAGTTAATTGCTGCTAACTATGCATATATTTTCCCATGACTTAGTTATGCTAACTTCCCATTAGCTTTCTTCCTGCTCTTTCCGCTGGAGTTCTATTTCCAGGATGCCTCACAACCTCGCTCAGAATTTCTTCCCTTCTGATGTAGGAGCAGATGGGGTCTTGAAAGCTGACATTCTTCTTGAAGAACAGAAGCGACTACACAGGCTCTCTGCTCCCTCCCAACCCATCTGTGCCTTCCAATGAAAACTTAGCCAGGCAGGCTCCCTGGGTGATGCAATTTACACACAGGTAAGATTCTGTGCATTTGCATAGCGTTCTTTATTTTATACAATACCTTACATACGCCATTCTACTTTGGTCTTTTGACTGGTTTTAGCTTCTCCATTTCACAGATGAAAGAACTAATAAGACTCAGAGAGGTTAAGTGACTGCCCTAGGTCTAGGCTATGAAGCAGGTCAAGAACTTAGGTTTCCTAATTCCTATCTAGGAACTATTATCACTATACCCAACTCCTTCTAGAAGCAAATGAGTTAAGAGTTAACGAACAGTTTTTCTTTTTTTTCCGCATGAGAACATATATGGATTGTCATGTGTAAAATGCTTTAGGACAGTACTATGCACTGAATGTGTGTATCTCCCCAAATTCATATGTTGAAGCCTAAATCCCCAATGTGACGGTATTTGGGGGTGGGGCCTTTCAGAAGAAATTAGGTCACGAGGGTGGAGCCCTCATGAATGGGATTAGTGCCCTTGTAAAAATGGATAGGAGAGGGATGATCTCTATGCTCTTTTTCATGTGAGGATACAGCCAAGAAAGTAGCTGTTTGAAACAGCAAAAGGGCTCTCATCAGACACCGAATCTGCTAGTACCTTGGTCTTGGACTTCCAGCCTCCAAAACTGTGAAGAATAAATGTCTGTTGTTTAAGCTACCCAGTCTGTGGTCTTCTAAAAGTGACCCTCCACTATAGACCTGGACATATTATTTGCCATACTGTCCATTCAAGTTGCAAACTTTGGGACATTTTTATTTTACAACTGATGTGGAAGAGAATCATCAGATTCCAAGGAGAGGAGATTCAGCTGTCATCTTCAGTAACAAGGAATCTGAGAAGTTTGTTTTAAATAATTTCTATGGTCAGGGCGCCTGGTGGCTCAGTCAGTTAAACATCTGCCTTCAGCTCAGGTCATGATCTCAGGGTCCCAGGACAGAGCCCTGAGTCAGGCTCCCTGCTCAGCAGGGAGTCTGCCTCTCCCTCTGCGCTGCTCATGCTCTCTCTCAAATAAATAAATAAAATCTTTAAAAAAAAGTTTCCATGGTCTTACAACCTGTTGGCCTAGAATCACTACAGTACTTCTCACCACTCACCATGCCACTAGAGACATAGGAAATTCACCAAGAATAAGGTCACTCAGAAATCCATTGACTTGAGAGCTCAGCATGACCTTATTATATCGATAGAAACATGATGTTACTTCATTGGTAAACAAATTCAGTATAATAAGTATCTGTGACTTTTAGTGTGGCATGACCTATGAATTCCTACTGGATTCCAAGCCTCTCTTACTCCTGTACTGCTTGAAGTTTTATTAGCAAATACATGTTTTCCATTTCTCTTAGTTGAACAGAGAGGACTAA